AATGATACCTAAATTTTGTCCCTCCTGTTTTTCTCAAATTGAAATATCTCTATTATTTCTTAAGTAAAAGTATTTTTATTAGATACTTTCCAGAATTCTAAACAATGGTGGTGAGTGAATCCTGGGTCTTACTTTATTTGACTGAAGGATGAGTTGGGGTTGCAGAGTGTCCTACCTTGCCTTGGAAGCCTTGTTGTGAAATAATCCTCTCATGTGATTTAGAAATGTCTTTAAAAATTAATTCATTATTTCTGTGGGAATCCATACAGGATATCCTGATCATACTCACCCTCCCTTCTGCTACTCTCAGGTCCATCCCCTCCCTACCTATCCACCCATTATCTGCATGCTCTTTCTTTCTTTCTTTCTTTCTTTCTTTCTTTCTTTCTTTCTTTCTTTCTTTCTTCCTCTCTCTCTGTCTCAACTTGACACAGGCTAGGTTCATCTGGAGAGCAGGGACCTCCATTGAGAAAATATGCCTCCATAAGATTTTTCTGTTGGCAAGTCTGTGGCTGAATTTTCTTCATCAGTGATGAGGACAGTCCAGTGCACTGTGGGTGGAGTCACTCCTGTTTTTTTATTTATTTAAATTAGAGAAATCTTGTTTTACAGGTCAATCCCAGTTCCCTCTCCCTCTCCTCCTCCTGTGCCCTGCACTGACCCCATATCCCATCCACTTTCTGTTCCCCAGAGAGGGTGAGGCCTCCCATGGGGGATCATCAAAGTCCATCACATCATTTGGAGAAGGGCCTAGGCCCTCCCCTGTGTGTCTAGGCTGAGACAGTGTCCCTCTATGTGAAAGGGGTAGTCCTGGGTTTTATAGAAAAGCTGCTAGAGCAAGCCATGGGGTGGGGGTGGGGCTGGGAGTGGAGGTAGTAAGAGACATTACTCTACAGTTTTTGCTTTAGTTCTTGTCTCTAGTTTCCTGCCCTGTTTGAGTTACTGGACCTTCAAACGTAAGTTGACTCTCTTTATATACCCTCCATTACCTTGCCCTCCCATTAGCCACCATATTGAATCCACCGCAGTTTTATTTCCTTATTGTCATTACTATGGGGGAGAACAAAAGAAAATTTAAAAGATTAAAATTTACAATTTCATCTTAGAAATTTGAAAACTATTTCAGTTCCCAAGTATTGGCATTGTTTTCTAAAACTGCTTGGCTGAATCACAATAAATCTTAAATGTCCCTACCAGCTTCTATTGTAGCTCAGTTTATACTTACATCACAGAGCAGTGTCAACAATAATTTCCACTCGCTGAGTTTTAGTCTATCCAGGAAAGAAGGCGTATAAGAATCACAGGACAAGTGTTTAGTAGCTCTGATGCTTCATTTAATCAGGCATTTTGTTTCTGGAAAAGTTAGGCAAAGATGATTTGTATGGCTAGCAGAGCAGAGGGCACAGAGTTAGGATAGTCTATAGTAATTACTTTAGACTCTCTAGAGAGAGTCTAATAACTTTATCAGTGAAGTCCATGCTAAGAAAAAAATTATAAAGTGGAAAAAACTAAGAGGTAAAGTGCTACCTCTTTCTCTGTATTTGTTCTCCTACTCTGTTCTACCCCTTGTTCAGTCCCTTTCGTTGACATTTTACACTCATTTCCTCCCATTTCCTATGGCTTATTGAACAAGTTTCCATAGCTTTCATTCTTTCTACTCACCCATGTCTCTAAGGCCACCATTTTTTTTTCTGTTTCTACATTGGATTGTTTCTTTCGGATAATCTTTGAATCAAAGTATTTCTGTTTTTTAAATGTCACCTAGAATAGTATTTTAATTAGAATGTTGTGTATGTATCAATAAATACATAGGGCACATTTTACAACTGCAGTTTCACATGACTTAAGCATTGATTATGTTGTTCCCCCAACTCATTAATGTATAATATTATCTTTGAAATCTTACAAATAATGCATAGATGCTTCAATTAAAATAATTTCTTTGCAAATAGTCCAATTTATTTCTTTTCTATCTATTTAGTTATTTATTTTTGGTTTTTCGAGACTGGGTTTCTCTGTGTAGCTTTGGAGCCTGGCAATTACTCTGTAGACCAGACTGGCCTTGAACTCACAGAGATCTGCCTACTTCTCTAATTTCAAAGTTTTAATGTATTAAAGAGATTTTAGACGGGGGTGGAGGCAATTGTTTGTTTATAGACTTACTGCCATCCTGAATTGGCTTGGTATGGCCCTAATGCAATTTAGAAGTGTTTATTTATTTCTTGTACCAATTTTATTATACACTACTTTATTAACTTCAGATTACAGATCAAGAAATTGATGCTTGTAAAAGCTGGTGGAACATTCCCTATTTTAGCATGTCCTGTTGTAGTGTTAGAACTATTAACAAACAGACCCAGTAGTCAATGCTTTTAAACATTCCCTGTGCTTAGTGCTTAGCACTAAGCCATCTTCTTCTAATCTAAGGGCAAAAGATCGACCAGTAAAATAGGCACTGTCTATTTTGTACAATAAACTGAAAACTCAAGATGATGGCTCCAGAGAAAGTGGTTTCCTCTGGCAGCAGGGATATTCAGCTTGCCTATTTTTTTAACATCAGTTTGACAACCTTAATCTCCATTCTGAATGTCCTGAGGAGTCCAGGGATCCAAGTCCTGAGATACTCCAGGTATTAGCAACTCTGCTTTCTTTTCAGTAGGCAGTTAAATCCAAATTCCTCCTTGCTCCCTTCTAAGACTAAGAGATTCTCTTTGTTTCCAGTTCTTTTGTTTGATTTTTTCTTTTCTCCTCTCCATAACGCCACCACTACCCTCTTTGATTCTTTGTGTGTGTGTGTGTGTGTGTGTGTGTGTGTGTGTGGTGTGCTTTCTCAGATGAGAATATATATGAATATTTAATTGACTATAAGACTATCCCTTCTTAATATGAGGAGATATTCAACCTGCCATGAGAATTATAGGCTCTCGAGTCAGATTCCCACACTTATTTATATGTGGCACAGAGATAAGGTATGTGATGTCAGTGAGTGACAAAACTGAAGTCTTCAAATATGGATTGTCTTTTCCTTTCTCCATTGGATTATAAGGGATCAAAGTCCTAACCTGTTTGATATCTAAGCATCCTGCCTCTTTTTTTTTCCTGAAGCTTTCTTCCTTTTAAAATTTTTAATTTATTTTTTATATTCTACATGTATGAGTGTTTTGCCTGCATGGACATCCATGGACTACATACATGCTTGATGCCTGAGGAGGTGATGTTCCTCCATGTGGTTGACCACAGGACTCAAACCTGGGTCTTTTGCATTAGAGTCCTTAACCAGTGAGCTTACTACTCTTCAGGCAAGTGTCCTGGCTCTTAAGGATTTAAGTCCTCACTGCTCTTCTTGGTGACCTTGAGTCCTGCAATGAGTTCTCCTGTTGCTAAGCTTCTTTAGCAAACACAGGGAAGAGAATCATCACTTCTTATGCAATTCAGAAAATCTCACAACCTCATGGTTTTAAAATCATTGAACACAAGATGTACATACAAGGTGTGCCAGCAGCAACGAAGTCCTCTCTTCATGTCACTTCCATCAAGCCATCTACACATAATGTATGCACTCACATATGTTTTACTGTGGTGATAAGCTGGAGTCCACCCAATTTGCATGTCAGAGTAGAAGGAAGGTGGGGCAAAGAGGTTAAATGGCCTTTGACTTAAATGACAATCTGCTGCTACCAGATATCACTTGGTCTAAGAACTTTGGGAGGAACCAAAGTGCTGAGTGCACAGGAAAAGTGTTGTTTCTTGCTTCTCAAGAAAATAGCTGAGGTGGGTACTTAAAGTCATTTGTTTTTTCTGTCTTGCGTTTGATTAATGCCTGCTCTGTTTAGCTTTTATCTCCACATCATTTTCTCCCCGAAGCATTATTTGTTTATAGCTCCTTAATTTATTTTCCTTTACAGGGTCAAGGGCATCCCACCATATCTCACCCAAGACTTGGGAATACGTTATCTTTACATCTAGAGTTTCAGACACTATGACACAGAGACAGAATGTGTTTGGCATGATATCAAAGCAAAGGATTGTGAATTTCACTGAAGCGTGAAAGAGGGCAGAGCTCAAAGAAAGTTAAAGCCAGCCAAGGAATTCCTGCCACCCTTGTGCTTTGAATTTTCTTAGCGTCTTCTTTCTTTGGACTCATTTAATCTTTTCATTTGTTTTAGAATAGCTTCCCGAGGCATAACCCACACATTACACAATACGCCCACTCGAGGGGTTCACTACAAGGGCTCCTAGTTTCTTTACTGTTGTGCAGTGGTCATCACATCCCGTTTTAAAAATAGTTTTATTAACTCAAAGAAATTTCACAACCACGTGTTCTCTGAAAGAAAGTCAGAAAAACTCCAAAAGGGGCAAATTAGATGGGAAGAAATATCCCAAGTCCTTTGTGCTCCAGCTTCTAAATCCTGTGGACTGGACTGGCAGGTGCCTCCGGATCCCAGCTGGATTACCTTCCCCAGTGGCTGGCTGTCAATCACTCTTGGAAGCACTTCCCAACCCTGCTGTGTTACCCTCCTACCACTCCTCCTTTCAGGCTGCCGGGAAATCCTGGAACATACGTGGCCCTGGAGCTGCTTGTAGTTTTAGTTACTAGGCTTTGAGTTGAATTTTAAACAAAGAAATAAACGAGCTAAAGAAAATAACACCCTAGGGCTTCACGATAATGGCTAGAACTGCGCGATTCTGCAATGGAACAGAGACACATATTTCGTTTAAAATAAACCATTTGGCCTTTTGGACGTGTTCTAGGAGTCCTCGTGTATCTACGTTCGGAGGGGCTCTGTCAAATGACAAGTGGGTGTCAGGGGTTGGAAATTCCTGTTAGGGTTGAATTTTAGGTGTGACACAACACAACTTCTGTAGATTCCTGCTCCCTTTCCCCAGGTCTCCGCGCCAGCCTGTTGCTTTCCTGGTGGCTCCAGGTCGGTTTTTATCGCGGACTTCAGTTTGACTTCCAAACTTCTGGGCTTGGGGCTCAGTTCATGGTTAGTCCCCGCCTCTACTAGGCTCCTCTCTGGGGCAGTGTCACTCCCACTGGGCCAGCAAGCCGCTGGGCCTGCTGCTGGGGACAGAGAGGAAGGATGAAGCCATCCTGGCTGCAATGTCGCAAAGTAACAGGCGCCGGGACGCTTGGGGCACCCCTGCCAGGGTCCCCTTCAGCAAGAGGAGCCGGTGCAGCCCGAAGGGCTTTGGTGGCCAGTCTCGGGGGCCGGGGCTGCAGAGCTCTGGCCACCTGCAGTGGTGGCGAGTACAAGACTCATTTCGCAGCCTCTGTGGCCGACCCTGAGAGGTTCTGGGGTAAAGCTGCTGAACAGATCAGTTGGTACAAGCCCTGGACCAAAACGCTAGAGAGCAGATACCCGCCTTCCACTAGTTGGTGAGTGAGCATTTAGTCAATTCCAGTATCTCCTAACTTCTTGGATGCCAAGTGTTGGAAGGTCTTGAATCAGGAATCTGAACTTCCATGGGGGGGGGGGGGGGTATCAAAATTTAAGATGCCTTCAGCTCTTCCCATTGATGCTTGGTTTCTTTCTCAAAGCTGTCCTACATTCTCCTTTTGAAGTACTTGGTTATCTAGAGTGATCCCAGTTTTGCACAGAGATTTACTTGTAGTAGCTCTGCTTGGCAGCAGTGGGGGGGATGTTGAGAGACCAAAACAAAGGCCTTCCAAAACAAAGGCTTGCCTCAAACAGGCACTGTACCTACAGGAAAGAGACACTGTGTAAACAAATACAGAACATATACTGGGCTAGGGAATTATGGACCTGCCTATGGCAGGGAGGAAGAGGCATGAAGAACAACTTCAATAAAATGTAACTGAGCAGGGTTTGGAAAGAAGAGATGTTATCTTCTCAAGGTTGACATGAGCTAATCATCAAAGTCCAAGGGCATAGAAAACAGCTGGAAGTTAATGACACTGTAAATTGTGTGGGACAAGTGGGAGAAAGGGATTGGGGTAAGAAGAGAGTTAAATAGTGTGCCAAACAGCTGGAAGTAGGTCGAGACCCATAGTCTTGTGTCTATGACACTCAAGCAAGGTAGCCCAGGGGCAAGGTGATAATAGGCATCATGGCAGGAAGAAAGTTCTCTTGAAGTTTCAACTGTAAATACTTGCAAACATTGGTTTTTTATGTTACAATAAAACAATACACTGTAGAAGATATTGTTAGGCTATTGAGAGTGAGGCCCTAAGCAGAGGTTTCTAGGTGCCTAATCCTTTAAGGCTACGGTTACTCCCATCTGTTAATCATTAGGGAAGGATATTATCTGTAAATGTCAGAAAAACACTACTTAGATGAGGGCAATGCATTGGTTAAGCTGACATTTGGCCCTTGGGTGGATACCTTTCTTCTCAGAGCAGAGAATCTGTAAGAAATTGGGTGGAATCTGTGCTGGGACCTCAATAAGAGGGAGGGTTTATGTGATGTTTCTTCCAAATGTGAGTACCTTGCCCCTCCAATCCAACTTATGTCTCCAGTAGTATTTGATTGACCCGCTTTTGTGTGTCTACAGTGAACCTGGCACTAGTATACAGCAATGAGTGAAAAGCAGTGTTTGCTTTCTGGAAAAGCCTGCCTGGGTTCGAGTTGTTCCCCTCTCAGTTACTGGACTCATAGTCAGGTGACTTCAGCTCTTCGTGCGTCATTTTTTTTTCTCAATGTCAAATCATTACTTTAAGGATTAGCTGATTAAAGGACTAAGGTTGAGTGACCCTGTGGGTTAGACCTTATAATTGTTATAGAGAAAAAACTGTCTTTTTATTTTTGTATTATAATCATTGTAGGAACAGGAGGTGTTCCCAGTGTCCTCCACATCACAGCAGAGATTATCATCCAAGGTTGTTTTCAAAACTCATTGTTCATATATCTGTCATAAATACTATCCTCTAGTAATCTTATGTGGTCACCATTTTACCTCAAAGCCAATGTGCAGAGATTTCAGTTAAGATGTCCCTGGGCCTGGTGAGATGGCTCAGAGGGTAAAGACAATTGCTGTGTGTATTAATTAACACCTTAGGTTCAGTCCTGGCAATTCTCATGGTAGAACTGACTTCAGGAGACTCCAACAAAAAACTACCTCTGATATCTGTACCCATGCTATAGCAAACCCCCACCCCCCACACACTGATGCACATACACATAGGGACACACACATACACACACACAGACACACGCACACACACACACACGACACACACATAGGGAGGTACATTCACATGCACATAGACACACATGCAAGACACACGCAGAGATACACATACATATAACAAATAAATAAATTCAGTTAAAACAATTTTACAACCAAATTAGTCTTGGGTAATAGCAATGACGGAAGAGAGAGACTGGCGTGAGTTCACAGGGCTAGTGTGGGTCAGTGAAGGCACATCAGTATGAATAATAACATTTTTAGCCTGTACAAGCTCAGAGGTCTGATTCAGTCTCACTAAGACATTTGATTGTCAGAGCAGAGTTGAGAAAGGGAGAGAGGTAGGACATCAAAAGTCACTTTGCTTCAGTAGATGGCTTCAGTCTGAGTTACTATCACTATACAGTGATGTTGTGTAATTTGTAGATATTCCTGTTCTATATATGACTATTCTATACATCTCTGTGGTCTAGGGCAGGGCTATCATATGTGCTTAAAGATGATAGTCAAATATCATCATTCTTAGGTAGGAAGATTTCATTTCTGTATTTGAATAGAAAATGACTTGTACGGCAATTTCAACTAAGTTCTTCAGCAGAACTGGGAGCAGCTGCTATAGGGAACTGAACTTCGCCAGTTGTAGCTGGTATACTTGTGGCACACTTTCTAATTCCGGTTGACTTCCTACAAGCCAGGTTCACTCTCTTTCACTAAAGGCCATTTTTTCATTTTCCTCATCATAAAATTTCTTCAATATATGCAGGCTTATCAAAGCACTGACACATGTGGCATTTTAGACCAGCTTCTGAAATGCCATACGGGACATAAAAATCTTACATTCACAGGAGTATAAACATGGGACAAAAATCTTAAGGATAACATGTAGACCATAAGGTATGGGAGTGATTGAATCACACCTCTAGTCCTGTACTCTGAGATCTCTAAACAGTGAAGGCCAGAATTAAATACATGCTTTAATATTTCCCCAGAGTTTGGTCATTTCTTCTTATTATCAATACCTTGGTTACTGGGTAGCAAAGTCTCTATTTGAGAAGTTCTCATAACAGAATTGTAGTGACAATTGACACTGAGGAAAAAAAATGATGCATGAAGAGCTGAAGTCACCTGACTATGAGTCCAGTAACTGAGAGGGGGAGAACTCAAATCTAGAAAATATAGTAATTTCTTTAATCTTGGAACACAACAGTGGATGTTCTGGGTTATTATTAATTGTTTTTCCAATGAAGGGACATTCTTTTGCCTATCCTGAAATTGAAATACAAGCATCTTTCTCTGAAGGGATTAGGGAAGTCACTTTTCCATTTTGAATTGTAGTCTGCTTTCTGAGGATCAATCCATTCCTTTCTATAGAAGTCCAATAACCCAGTGTTATCTCAGTCTTATTTAAAGAACACTAAGTATTAAGATTCTAGGCATTGGTGGTGCATGCCTTTAATCCCAGCACTTGGGAAACAGAGGCTGGAGGATCTCTGTGAGTTCGAGGCCAGCGTGGTCTACAGAGCAAGTTCAATACAGAGAAACCCTGTCTTGAAAAAAACAAAACAAACAAACAAACAAAAAGATTCTCAGTATCTGGAACTGACTGGTGAAAATGGCTCAGTAGGTAAGAGCATCTGTCACCAAATGTGGCGATCTGAGTTCAATCCCCAGGACCCATTTCGTAGGAGGACAGAATCAACCCTGCAGAGTTGTTCTCTGATTGTCCACAGGTACATCTGGCATATTCTACATGCGAAACAAACAAAGAAACAAAAAGATTCTCAGAATTTGAATCAGAACCAAATCTGTATTATTATAAACTGAAAACGAAGAGACTAAATTTATATTACTAGAAACTTAAAGTAGATTAACGTTCCTGTGGTGCAACTAGTGTGACTTGGAAAGGCACAAGATCCATTTCTTGCTCAATTCACAATTGTTTAATGCTGCCAAGAGTTAAACGGTCTCAGAGGACTTAAAGGACATGGATCTCTCAGACACTGTGTCTACACTATGTAGGCAACCATGGAGAGAGGGTAAAAGGAATCAAGATAAAGCATGAAGTACATCATTACAAAGCTGTAATTGCAAGGGAGGGCTATGGTACCATGGAGAGGGTAGGGAAGCTAGTGTGTGCCAAGAAGGGTTTAAGGAGAATGCAAGCTCCTGGACTCTAGATCTTTAAGTGGAACTCTGATAGGCATCAAGTCTTTTTTCATGTTTCCTAGCAATGTGGTAAGTCCATGGAGATAAGAAAGTCCTGAGGCCCATGGAGAATGGTTAACAGTGTACCAGTGGCTTATAGGGTTTTTTTCCTCTGAGTTGGCAGTGCCTGATTACAGAAGCATCATGGCTTTAGAAAGTGTTGAGTAGTTATCCACAGAGACATTTGCAGTGTCTAAGCTGCCTGTCATAATCAGAGTAGCCTACAATAACTGTGACTTGCTGAGATGGTGTTTTGCTTATTTGTGTGCTTATTAGTTTATCCTTTAGCAATTTTGTACATGTATATTATAAATTCTGATCATAATCGTCCCTCCACTATCTCTTATCCTTTCCCCACACCCATCGATTCTTGTTTCCTTCCAAGTCTCCATCCCACTTTCCTAGCTTAATTTTTATATTTTATTCTTTAAATTTTGCTTTGTGACTCACTGTGTTTAGCCAAGGCATAAGCATGAAGCTATCTACCAGAGCATAAGTAACATCAGTGACCACAGGTGGAATACTCCCATCATCTATGATGGAATGTTTAGTGACTGGCTCAGTCTTGTGCCTACACTGTGCCTGTGCATACAATCAGAGCAGTTGTGAGTTCATGAGTGTTGTGGCCATGCCACATTCTCAAGATAACATTTCATTACACTCCTCCCTATCATCTGTCTTTCATCACACTATGTTCACTGAGCCTTGCTGAGTTTTGAAGTTAGTGGTGGTGGTGATAGTGGTAGCGGTGGTTATGGTGGTGGTGGTGGTCGTGGTCATGGCGATGGAGGTGGTCTGTTTATAATTAGTTTACTAAATGTTTTGCTGTTTTACCTAAGACTAAAAATTTTGGAAACATCTCATTATCTGAGCCTCTCTTATGAACAACCTTAAACTGTGCCTCCATGAGACAGAAAGTGAGGGAGAGGGAAAAGGAGAAGGATGATGAGCAAGGGAGGGGAAGAGGGAAGAGGGGAGAAGGGATGGAGGCAAAGGGAAGGGAATGAGGGAAAGGGAGGGAGAGGG